CTGCTTCAGATGCTTATTAATTAGAAGAGAAATAAAAATTTTTGATAATTCAAATTGCTTGGCAGACGGATCAGATATTTTACACGTATCATCAAAACGAAACCAATAGACAGTGTGTTAATTAATTATCGCAATATCGCGATTTGCGTATTGCAATACCAGTACTGTCATATTGGTTGCATACTTGCAATGATGACGTCGGGTACGATAATTCATTAACACACTGTATATGTCCATCACAAGAAAGTTGTGAAAACATATCCGCTGATGTGTTCGATCACGATTATATAAATACAATGTAGAAATTTAATTACTACGTAGAAAATATTATAGAATACATCAGCGCATTTGTTGTTAAAAAAAATGTATCGTTAGATATGTGCACTTTCTGTAAAAATTATTTAGTATCCAGTGAAAAAAATTGTTTATTAACTTAAAAAATGAAGGAAAACTAATTTATCCCTCAAAAGATGTTATTACAATTTGTCAAACTGCCGAAAGGATTTATAGAAAGAACATAACTAAAATATTCAGCACCAATATTAAGAGTGTAATGATAAACAATGTGTCCGGAAGTGTCATAGTTTAGTATATAATAATAAAGATTGGATAACGCATGTACAAAGCCAGGTTTATTTATACAATCATATATCACAATTGATTTAAAATAACTAAATAAAACTCGTCAAAAAATGAGTATCTTCGCTCAAAGTACCATAAATTAATTCTTTTTAAGAATCAATAAACAAATTGTAAATAAGTGTAGTTTTCTTATCAGTTTCTGTTTTTATTAGTTTCAAGACGCTAGCTCACGATTAGCCCGATGGGCTTTAACACTAATGCAACCAATATCGCGATTTGCGTATTGCAATACCAGTACTGTCATATTGGTTGCATATTTGCAATGATGACATCGGGTACGATAATTCATTAACACACTGTATATGTCCATCACAAGAAAGTTGTGAAAACATATCCGGCGATGTGTTCGATCACGATTATATAAATATAATGTGGAAATTTAATTACTACGTAGAAAATGTTATAGAATACATCAGCGCACATGTTGTTAAAAAAATTTTATCGTTAGGTATGTGCACTTTCTGTAAAAATTATTTAGTATCCAGTGAGAAAAATTGTTTATTAATTAACTTAAAAATGAAGGAAAACTAATTTATCCCTCAAAAGATGTTATTACAATTTGTCAAATTTCCGAAAGGGTTTATAGAAAGAACATAAGTAAAATATTCTGCACCAATATTAAGAGTGTAATGATAAACGATGTTGTCCGGAGGTGTTATAGTTTAGTATTTAATAATGAAGATTGGATAACGCATGTACAAAGCCAGGTTTATTTAGACAATCATATATCACAATTGATTAAAATCATTGTTGAAAAATATTGTCATTCGACTTTTTCATGAGAGTAACTAAAACTCGTCAAAAATGAGTATGTTCGCTCAAAGTACCATAAATTAATTCTTTTTAAGAATCAATAAACAAATTCTAAATGAGTGTAGTTTTCTTATTAGTTCCTATTTTTATTAATTTTAAGACCCTAGCTCACGATTAGCCCGATGGACTTTAACACTGATGGAGTACGACTTCGAGATTATACCCAGACCTGGCAGAAAACACGGAAACGTAGATACACTTAGTCGAAATAGTATAGTTTCCTTAATCCAGAAGAATGAGAAGGACACCTTATTGATTAATGAAGTAGAAGGAGATTTGTTTGATGCGTCCCAAGGGTGGGTGTTAGCTCACTGCGTGTCAGCTGACTTTGCAATGGGAGCTGGTATCGCGAAAGAATTTAGACAATTTGGTTCCATCGAAAAATTAATATCAGAAAAGAAAGGAGTTGGTGACGTAGTCTCGCAGTTTGCGGAGAATAAAAAGATATATCACTTGATCACTAAAGATGAATACTATCATAAACCAACTTATCATATGTTGAGACAGTGTCTGGATGCCTTACGGGATATACGTATTGCCATATGGCAATACCTAGAATAGGATGTAGGCTCAATAAGCTAAAATAGAATTTAGTTAAAGAAGAATTGAAAGAATGGTTTGAGGAAACGAATATCTTTTGTTAAACATAAAACCCTATGGCAATAAAATAAATAACACACATACATAAAATCCTATGTATGTGTGTTATATAATAACCATTCTTTCACAAGGTATGACGTATGTTTTGGATCATTATCTTGTTGGAACCAGAACACAGTCGGAAGGTTAAGTTATTGAGAGCTTTGATGTAAATTGCGTTTTAAAATATCCAAATAACTAAATTTTGTCATATTTCCCTTAATAAACTCCATAGTTCCAACGCCGCTGGCTGCCATTGCTACCCACAGCATTACTGAACCACCGCCATGTTTTACTGTTCCGACCAAATTCTTCTTTTTAAGCTCACAATTTGGTTTCCTCCAAACTATTTGCTTTAAATCTGATCCCCAAAGATTAATTTTAGTCTCATCAGTGAACATTACAGTTTCTCAAAAGCTTTGAGGCTTATCTAGATGAGCTCTCGCAAAATCCAAGCGCTGTCTTCTATTTATTGTGTTTATAAAAGGTTTTTTCCGCGCAATGCACCCATGGAGATCATTTTTTCTAAGCACGCGTCGAATTGTTTCAGTGGACACACTCTTATTTATTATTTTTGAGATCTCTACAGTTAATTTTGGAACACTTATTTTTGGATTTATATTAACTTTACGTACAATATTACGTTCATCGTATTCTGTTAGCACTTTCTTTCTGCCTCTGCCAGTGGAGTTTTTCAATGTTCCTTCATACCTCCACTTGTTTTCGATTTTTTGTACAGTGAATAGGGTCTTCCAATAATTTTTCCAATATCTCTAAAGGATTTACCTTCAGAATATAGCTTCACCGCTAGTTTTCTTATTTCTAAAATTGTTTCTTTTCGTATTGTAGCCATTGTCAAGCAATTGTTCTCGATATTATGACAATTAATTGTAAACTGACTCAGATATGCAGGGCCGGCCATAGGAGGGGTGCCGTGGATGCGTAGCACCTGGGCCCCGTAACTCATGGGGCCCCAAAACGATTCAAAGAGCTTTTAGAACTAGGTCTAAAAGTGTTTCCTTATCGGATTTTTTTTCCGATAAACAAAATTGTTCAATTAAAAAAAACAGTTTTCAATGATTTTAACTGACTATAGTACACGCCATCTAACGGCAAAACGTCAAAAGTAATGACAGGTCTCGTAAGTTAACCTCATTAAATTAAACTGAATCATTATTAACTTTGCAGTGCCGCCAGTGCCATTCATCGGTTCATAATTATTCATATTTTGTAAAATTTGAAAGTAAGTAAACATATTTCATGTTTATTTTATTAGTTTAGTGTTGGGTGGTTGTTAGACAACCTGTAATACGGGAGTTGTAGAATAAAGACAGTTAACCTCGAGACTCGGAGCGTATGTTGTACGCTCGAGTACGCTCGCGAGAAAAATTTATAAAGACGCATAACGTGATTTATGCGAGGGCAAAATTTAATTTGCGTAAACAAAAAGAAGGAGAAACGGCCGAGGAATACGTTAGGGCAATAACTACTCTAGCAAAAAATTGTAAATACGGGTCTTTAGAAGACGAATTAATAAGAGACAAACTAGTTGTCGGAATAAGAGACCAGAAACTGTCTGAAAATTTACAATTGGATGAACANTCGAAAAAACACAATTAAACATGTATTCCTGGCTTCAAAGTAAAAATGATAATACTATGGAAGACAATTCGATTCAATCTTTAATTGGACCAGAAGATTGCGAACAAACTCTACAAGATACCCTTCAAAATACAAAAAAATACGGAAAAAGCAAGAACTAACAGTGATGATAACAATAATGAAGATGATGTAATAAACTTAAATTTAGGTGATCCAAATTTATGGCCAAATGTTATAACCCATAACTTTAGAGTGATGTGTACCAAAGTTGGACCTAAACAAGATGTTCAAAGCACTTTTCCTAAAAATGAAGAAAGTAGATCGTTTCTATATCGTATTATTTTAAAAAAATGCCAAATGGTGAAACTCAGCCTCGTAGTTGGTTACTTTACTCAAAGACTCAGGACTCAGTTTATTGTTTTTGTTGTATATTATTTGGGCAAGAAAACGACAAAAATCAAAACACACGATTCAGACAAGGTTATAATACGTGGAGAAAATTGTCATGTGTACTTCGAGACCATGAGCTCTCTGTATATCGTTGTAAATCTTTTATTGCATGGCAAGAATTACTGAAACGGCTTAACTTGAAGTCCACTATTGATAACATGAATCAAATTAATATAAGTAGAGAAATGGAACGCCTGAAATTATTATTTCAAAGAATTGTAGATGTTATTTTGTTCTTATCTGCTAATAATTTATCGTTTCGAGTATCACATGAAGTAATAGGTGTACCAAATAATGGGAATTTTTTAAGTTTAATTGAATTGTTAAGTAAATATGATCCTGTACTAATGGATCATGTAAACAGAATTAATAACAGAATAACATAGATCGCAAGACGAAATTATTGCGGCTTTAGGAAATGAAGTACTTAATAAAATTAAAAATGATATTAATGCCGCCACATATTTCAGCACACAGATGGATTGCACCCCAGACATTTCTCATACCGAACAGACATCAATCATTATTAGATATGTACATTTTTGTAATAAAAAAATAAACATATATGAATCGTTTGTGGGATTTATTGAAGTATCAGATACAACTGGTGAAGGACTAGCTAATACCCTTTTAAAAAGAATAAATGAGCTGGATTTGGATATTANAATTGAAACTCCAGATGATTGGTTTGAACTGTTAAGGGTATCACGCACCAAACCGTCGTCATTCGTTATCGAAGAAGTCACTCAAAATATGGTAATGAGCTGGACTTCGTTTTTACAGAACCTGTATGTGAAGAAATGTCCATTACAAAAAACCAAAGAAGTGTTCTGTACAATCGATCATTGTCGGTTTATACTGAACAGAGATACATACAATGGTTCTTGGAAAAAAAGTGTAATAAAGGGAAAAATTCAGATGGAAGCAACCACTTTACTGCCAAGTGAATTCAAATTACCAGATAAACTATACAATGGTGAGTATGCATAAAACTGACTTGTATGAGCGGTAAATACATATTTTTTATAAACATATTTTTAATAGGATAGCGACCAAGCAAAAAATAAAATTTATACTAATTTTTCTCTTACGAAATTCAAATTTGGAAACCACAGATGGACAAAGCTGCATCTACGATACCAACCCATCTGTGGTTTCCTAATTTGAACTTCGTAAGAGAAAGAATAGTATAAATTTTATTTTTTGATTGGTCGCTGTCCTATTAAAAATATGTTTGTATATTCACGACCATGAATGTCGATAAACGTTCATATTTTTTATATTCGTTGCAGATCTTATTCCAGTAAATAAAGATAAGTTTAAGGATTTAATGGTGCTGAAGCAATTCTGTGGCCCAGTTGCTGTCAAGTTTTTTACCGATCTACCGCATGAATAGGGGACATTCCTCGTTTTTTTCACATTTGTAATACCTTCGAATTAGTTTTATTTTATTATCAGATACACTGACGAAAAATATTTGTATTTACATGTTGAGACATACAATAAACATATAGTAAGATTTATTTAAATTATTTGTGGTTACTGCAAAACCAAATCGCTAAGTAGTTTGCGTAATTAACTTTAACATTCAAGTTACTCCGTTGTTAGTCTAAAGGACATACCTTGTTCTTTCCCCATACCCTTCATATGAAAGACAAAAACTCGAAAAAACACAATTAAACATGTATTCCTGGCTTCAAAGTAAAAATGATAATACTATGGAAGACAATTCGATTCAATCTTTAATTGCACCAGAAGATTGCGAACAAACTCTACAAGATACCCTTCAAAATACAAAAAATACGGAAAAAACAAGAACTAACAGTGATGATAACAATAATGAAGATGATGTAATAAACTTAAATTTAGGTGATCCAAATTTATGGCCAAATGTTATAACCCATAACTTTAGAGTGATGTGTACCAAAGTTGGTCCTAAACAAGATGTTCAAAGCACTTTTCCTAAAAATGAAGAAGGTAGATCATTTTCTATATCGTATTATTTTAAAAAAATGCCAAATGGTGAAACTCAGCCTCGTAGTTGGTTACTTTACTCAAAGACTCAGGACTCAGTTTATTGTTTTTGTTGTATATTATTTGGGCAAGAAAACGACAAAAATCAAAACACACGATTCAGACAAGGTTATAATACGTGGAGAAAATTGTCATGTGTACTTCGAGACCATGAGCTCTCTGTATATCATTGTAAATCTTTTATTGCATGGCAAGAATTACTGAAACGGCTTAACTTGAAGTCCACTATTGATAACATGAATCAAATTAATATAAGTAGAGAAATGGAACGCCTGAAATTATTATTTCAAAGAATTGTAGATGTTATTTTGTTCTTATCTGCTAATAATTTATCGTTTCGAGGATCACATGATTACTTCATGTGATCCTCAGGTGTACCAAATAATGGGAATTTTTTAAGTTTAATTGAATTGTTAAGTAAATATGATCCTGTACTAATGGATCATGTAAACAGAAGAAAAGGATTGTGCACCACTTGGCACATAGATCGCAAGACGAAATTATTGCGGCTTTAGGAAATGAAGTACTTAATAAAATTAAAAATGATATTAAAGCCGCCACATATTTCAGCATACAGATGGATTGCACCCCAGACATTTCTCATACCGAACAGACATCAATCATTATTAGATATGTACATTTTTGTGATAAAAAAATAAACATATATGAATCGTTTGTGGGATTTATTGAAGTATCAGATACAACTGGTGAAGGACTAGCTAATACCCTTTTAAAAAGAATAAATGAGCTGGATTTGGATATTATGTATTGTAGAGGGCAAGCATACGATAATGGGGGCAATATGAAAGGAAAATATAAAGGCGTACAGTCCAGAATAATTAGTTTAAATTCTCATGCAATTTATGTCCCTTGCATATCACATTCTTTCAACCTGTTAATCTGTGATGCTGCTTCTAGCAGCATATATTGTAAAAACTTTTTTGGATTGCTGCAACGCGTATATTGTTTGTTTTCTGCCTCAACCAAAAGGTGGGAAATTTTACGAAAGCACTTAAATATTACGTTAAAACCATTATGTGATACTCGTTGGGAAGCCAAAATAGATTCCGTTAAAGCAGTGTACACACAGTTTGAAGAAACATGTAATGCCTTGGAAGAACTAACTGAAACAAGTAATGACAACGCTGTCGTTTCCGAAGCTCAAAGTATACTAAATTCAATACAAAAAATGCCTTATATTTTATCTTTATCAGTGTGGTTCACAACATTATCGAAAATTAATAGCATCAACAAATTACTTCAAGGAAAAGCAATGGTTCTTGACTCGGCACTTAATTTAATAAATAAAATTAACGAGAATGTCCAAAATTTAAGATCGAAGTTTAATGAATTTTTAGAAAAAGCAAGAACTACAGCGCACCACATGAAAATTTCAGCAGATTTTCCTGAGAAACGTATTAGGAAAAGAAAACGAATATTTTCCGAATTAGCGGAAAATGAAGTGTTGGAAAACCCGGAAGAGGAATTTAGATGCAACTTTTTCAACGTTATCATTCACACCATTATTGTGCAAATAGAGCAAAGATTTCAAAATATTCCTAAGGTTATTTCGAATTTCAAATTATTTACTAATATAAAAACCTTAGATCAGTGTGATTTAGAAAATTATTCAAGAAGTTTTATAAAACTGTATAATAACGATGTAAACGAAGATTTAATTCAAGAAATTTCCTTATTAAAAAACTTAATTTTGAACGAAAACAATTTAAATAGCGTCCAAGATATTTTACAGTATATTTTAGACAATAATTATAACAAACTATTTCCAAATGTGCTAACTGCTTTAAAAATTTTCTTCACGTTACCGGTTCTACAGCATGTGCAGAACGTTCCTTTAGTAAATTAAAACTTATAAAAAATTACCTTCGATCAACAATGTGTGAAGAACGTTTAAATGCACTTGCTATGTTAAGTATTGAAAGAGACATTGCAAACAATTTAAATTTTACTAGTGTAATTAATAATTTGGTTATAAAAAGGTGTGCTAAATAATTAAAATTTTACTAGTGTAACTTAAGATAATAAAACTATTTAATTTACTATTTAATTTATTAAAGATAATAAAAATGCATATAAATTTGGTTATGTTAATTTGCTTGTTGTTAAATTTGAACTAATCCGCTATTTTTATACCGAATATAAGAATAAGGTTACAAAATTTTTCTTGCACCCGGGCCCCTTCATTAAGAAGGCCGGCCCTGCAGATATGCTGTAGAAACGTCAAAATATATTTCAAAGCCTACTGTGATCTATAAAGAGCGTCTTAAATACAAGTTTTGAAACGCTATACTCAATATTGAGACACTCATATTGGGACTATTTAATTTTTTTTAATAAGCATTGCGAAATTGTCAAATTGTTGTTCTATTTGTTTTTGTTTGTCAATGTTAATTGACGTTATGTTAATGTGAGTAAAGTAATTCGTGGTATACACTAAAAATAATATATTATTATTATAAATTGTTTTTGTATACTCAATTTTATGGCGTGAATTTCGTATCACTTACTGTGGGGATATGCTGTGTTGGTCCGTGGCAGCCAGCGGAGTTGTAACTGTAGTTTATTGAAGAAAATATGACAAAATGTTGTTATTATTTAGATATTTTAAATTATAATTTCATTTTTAAAGTTCTTAAAAAGTTAACCTACCGACAGTGTTCTGGTTCCAACTAAACGATGATCCCGAACATACATTATACCTTATGAAGGAATGGTTATTATACAATACTTCAAAACAACTAAAAACACCACCACAGTCTCCGGATATGATCCTATTGAACGTTAATGGAGAAAAGTTAGGTTTCAGTTAAAAAATAGCAAGTGTCGAAACAAAAGCGAATTGAAAAATGAAATTTGTAAAATTTGGGATAGAATCTCGCTAAACTAAACCAAAAAGTTAGTGGACTCTGTAGCGCATCAAGCACTCTTATTATTTTTATATAGAAACATCATGTTATATCACCATGGGTTGTTATATCAACATAATGTATTTTCCCATGGCGATTTTGTTATACTTATTGTTTAATCTCGATTAAACAATGTTTTATTCAATTTTTCTTTTAATTTTTTTTACTTTCTTTAATAAGGTCAGCAGACAAATTACCAAACGTCGCTGACCAAACGCATCGCTCGCACCGCATAATTGCGTAACGCACACCGCGCGCAATTATGCGACCTAAATTAATTAGTTTTTTAGTCGCTTATTAATTGTTAAGTTAGCATTAAGATTTGTATATAAACCCCAAATTTTGAATTAATAAACAGTATTATTGATATCTTCGTAATGCTCATTTCCTTCCTGGATTAAACGTCTGGCCTGCCCGGAGTTTAATCCGTTCCAAAATAAATATCTGGCCTGCCCGGAGTTTGAACAGTTATAAAATAATAAAATAAACGGATAGACACACATAAAACAGTCTATCAAATACTCCATTTTAATTTTTAATATTTTATTATACGATTAATTAATATAGAGTTACAAATAAATATGCTCTATAGACTCAATGCCACGGCGAATGCAGGTGATAATTGACGCCAATGGAGGGCTTATAGCTTATTAAAACATAATACTCAGCTAAACTTATTCACTTTGCCTTAACTGTATACTCAATTTTGTGGCGTGAATTTCGTGTCATTTTTTATTATTGTTAGTATTGTGATTATTTTATTTGAAAAACTGGATTATTTTGAATTCAAATTAGTTCATAAGTTTGTTGTTAATACATATATATCATAAACTTTAAAACAAATTAATAATTATTTGAAATTTTCACATTTATCTATCTTCCATTCAGCTGTATACTCAATTTTGTGAGCAACTGTATGTATAGTAATTTGAAAGTTTTTTTAAAAACATCGTATCAGGATTTGAAATATGATTGTGATTAAGAGTAACAAAGTTGTTGACTGAAGATCCGTTTAATACAGAACATTTATAGAGGAAAAAGTGGTGTTAAGGTATTTAAAAGGAACAATAAATTTGGAACTGACATATCGAGGGTCAAACCGCAGGACCTCGTAAGTCACATTTTTAATGAAATTGACATTATCATCGTTTCCGTTCCAAAACAACTATTGTCATCTATTAGTAAAACATAAAACTAATATTTTAAAACCGTTAAATAAACAGATTGCAAAAAACATTACCTCGTAAAAGCGAAACGATATTTTTAAATACGGGACCTCGTAATTGACAATTCTGTAATGGCGACAAGTAGAGTGTTGATTGCCGTTGGTGTTATTTTATGCGAAATTTGAGTGATAAGTGGAAATATTTATTTCTTGATGGTTGTCTTTTCATACAATACATGACAAAAAGAAACAAAATATATAATATAGTTTTTTGCACGATAAAACGATTTTAGTTAATTACCGCGCTTGTTCGACGAGTTAACAATTGTTAAAAATTTTAATAATTATACCACAAGATATGGAAGAAAAATTGTAAATAAGTTTAAAGATTTGTAAAAAAAAATAATATTAATTTAGCTTAAGAACGGTGTTGTTATATTTGAGAAGCTTGTTTCCAAAACGTACCAAATCCACAAAATTTGGAATCGCTGTATTTTGGGCTGTCTATTTAAGATTTGCTTTCTCTGTATACTTGAATAGGAATTTCTTGTCAAAGTGTTCCACATCCCGTTGAAAATAGCCTCTAAATAACAGTTACTGTTCCAGCGACTACATCCAGTCGCTGTTTAGTGTCAAAACGTACCAAATCCATTTCAACCAATCCGAGACGTTCTTAAAGTAACGTGACTAACCTTAAATAATGTAACCGTGTAACTTTCTGCTGTCAACAAGATTGTTCGTCTGTTAGTATTTAATAGTTTACAAAATGAGTATTGTTGAGACAGAAGAGTTTTTTGAAGACATTCAATCGACAACAAATGCTAGAAAGCGGAAAAGTGATAAAAGCAAGTGGAAAAAGAATGTTCTTAAGAAAAACAGATATGAGCTTAAGTCAAAAAAAGAACCACGTGTATCCTGCTCACATAACGATAAAGTATGTAAAGCCAGACAACTAACAGCCGCTGATATATCTGGTTTCCATGGATATTTCTATAAACATAAAACTGCAGTTTCTCAAAAAAACTTTCTAAGTGCATACATAATCGTGGAAAAACCAAAAAGACATAGACCAAATCAAGGCAAGTCTAAAGGTCATGCAAAATCTATAAGTGTGAAATATTCGATTCAGTCTGGTGCACATCAAGTACCAGTATGTAAGAAAACATTTTTATCAATTTTGCAAATTAGTCGAAGAGCAGTAGACTATGTTGCAAACAAAAAATTTAAAAACGAACCTATTACTAAAGAAAACAGAGGTGGTGCTAGATTGTCAGAAAATATAATATTGTTACAAAATAAAATAGAGGAACACATCAAGTCATTCAAGTGCCGACCAAAACACTGGGGTAGAGCAGGTGCTCCAAATAGAAAGTATTTGCCCTCTGACTTAAGCATAAAGAAAATGTGGGAATTATTCTGCAAGGAAAATTCGTTGGATGACAATAATAAAGTATCCACATACTCTTTATATTATAAGGTATAGTGAGATTTTTGAGAAATAATAATTCTTTATTTTTAACAGTCAAAATATTGTTTCTTTTAGGTTTTTACTAAGAAATTTAATTTGGGATTTTCCTCGGTTAAAATGGATAGATGTAGCGACTGTGTTGCCTTCTCAAATAAACTCAAAGTCATAAACGACGACGTCGTCAAACGTACAATGGTTGTTGAGCAAATGCTTCACATAAGAAGATCGAAAGCATTTTTTCAGCAGTTGAATTTAAAGCCAGAGAATTCTATCACAATAAACTTTGATATGATGCAGAATCAGCCGTTGCCAAAAACACAGATAGGTGAAGCTTACTATAAAAGACAGATTTGGTATTATCTTCTTGGAGTGATAATTTGTGATGACCACGGAAAACTAAACCAAGAAAATGTATTTTTTTATCGGTGGTTAGAATCAGATGGAGGAAGAGGCTGCACAGAAATTACATCTTGCTTATGGCATTTTTTTAAAACAAATATTATCAGTAGGAATATAAAAAACATTCGATTATTTTCAGATAGTTGCTCCTCCCAAAATAAAAATTACACACTACTTTTGAGTTTGCTGGTTTTGGCCTGGAAATATAAACTCAACGTTGAATGGTTTTTTCCAGAGCGTGGTCATTCATACATGCCAGCGGATCGTGCATTTGGCATTCTTGAAAAAAAGCTTCGGAAAAAAGAGAGTATCATATTTCCTCACGAATACGATGATATCGTAAAATCTGTTGGAACTTTATATACTGTTTCACAAGATTTTAAATGGATGAGTTGGCGAGATCTTAATAAAAGTGTGGTAACATCTAGTAAAACATTTAAAATAACTAAGGCAAAATTGGTCTTGCTCTTTCTTATAGCCTAGCTCCTACGTGTAAACATACAATTTATTCTTAAGAGAGGAATGAAGCTGGCCAACATTGAAGGACGTTTAAAAGAATTCCCTTCCTCAAATCATATCAAAAACGAAAAAAAGGCTGACGTAGTTTTTCTTCTCAAGAAAATGGGATATGATATAGAAAATGTTATATATTATCAAAATGTTTTACGCAGCACTCAAGATAACGATAACGATGAAGATTCAGATTAAGTGTTGCACGAGTATTTGTTATGTATGTTATTATTTCTTGTTCTTTTTTTAGTAAATGCATCCAAATTTACTAAATGGTAGTCAGTGTTTTTTTATTCCATATCGTACTACATCCTCATTTTTTAGCAAAATGTACCAAATCCAAATAGTTTTTGTGTGTATAATTGAAAATATTCATCTATGATTTGTAGAATCGGAAA